GGTGCGTCGATATGGCCAGAAGAGTAGTCATGGGTTCCGTCGTCGTGTGTGGTGTGACTCATTACATAGTCGCGGGGGTCGTTCGGGTCGTAGCCTGCGAAGGGGTCGGGGTGGTCTTCTGTGCGACGGCTTCTGCGAGAGCTTTTTCGGGCCATGGTTGGTTTTTATGTGATTGGGGTTGTCAGGAGTAGCTATGAGAACGCGGTTGAGAGAGTAATTGCTTTAGAAATAGAAAGAGAGTAGGTACTCGAATCTTTAGGCAAGCTTATATATGCATGGCTACGACGGGAATGCTCCTTGAAAGACGAGGTCACTCTGTTGAAGAGGAATTAATACAGCAGTCTGCCAGCGTACAGGAATTGATGCGCTGACGATGCTGCGCTGGCTGTACGATACGCACTCATACCGAGCGGAAATATTCAGCAGACAGACTCGTAGTATTCGTCGTCAGATGAGGCCACTGACGCGCTCGCTGAGCAGAGTTCTGTGAACCACGCACGTCGCTGCCATCTGTTCGTGATGGCCGACACATCACATCGAATTGAATGCAAAACACTCACAGTCATTTTCTGTCACAACCGCCTCACCCGACCAGATGCTCATCGAAGTCCTTCGCCACCGCAACAGTACCCACGCGCGGCTCGCTCGTCTGCTCTTGAAGCCTCACAATTGTTCAAATCATCCACATAGGTAGTCTCCATATGTATCCATCAATATGGAGACCTCACTCACCATCGAGCAGCGATTACCCAGCCAACAAGCGAGCTTGCCGCAAACCAACGCGCGTCACCATGGACCTGTATCCTGCAACCCTCGAGGACCCCACGCAACCGTTGCAGCAAGGAAAGCGGGCATGCCCGACGGCCTGATCACCCAAAGGAAACTAATCCCGAGTCGCGTAGAAATTTGAGACGCTTGATCCCACGCGTGGTTGCCGCAAAGATATCCATGTCCCGTTCGTGCATGGCGGGTCCCTATACGGTCCGATAGTAAAGGCCCGACGCGGCTGATCTGTGCTGGCGATCGCGATCGTGGAGGAGCGGTACATGTGACTGTAGGAATACTGCGATCGAAGATTGCTGATTGATTTGTGTTGGGCTGTGGTTGGGTTTTCTTGCTGTAGTCGTAAGCAAGGCTGTTAGTGCTGGTGAGGTTACTTTGACAGCCTCCACATTATGGAGGTGGTACCTTGCCGGTTGCTCCCAATTCTTGGGTCGACATCCCACGCTGACGTTCTCGACGCCTGTCTCTTCATAATCCATGACGGAACAGTCTCCTGCGTGAGTTCATGCTATTGATGGGAGACCTGGCGCAGTTGCATATTGCAGGTTTCCCCGCCATTCCATGCCTAGACAAGAAAGGTTTCCGTGCATGTAGTGCTTGACCGCATCTAGGATGGACTCTTGAGCAGGCTCCGTGTATCTTTTTCATTCAATCCTTGTATCTTTGATGAGAAGCCAGCGGTGAAGTGGCCCGCGCCCACCTAGGAAAACAACGGTGTTCCGCGATTGTACTTGTCCGCCTCTTGATGTCAACAATGACGCATAGATACAGGTGAAGATGACGATGCAACGTGAACTTAACCTTCTGGATCAATCGTTGCATGAGTTGACGACGCACTGCGAGCCGACGGGTTGGTAAGACGAGAAGTCGGTGAGAGGATCTGACCACACCCTCCGCAAAAGCCCACGCGGCATTGCGGGGTCGCAGATGATGCGGCTCTCAAGTGGGGTTTGTGGAAGATACTCGTTGATGTGCGCACTGGATTTCCGTGGTCGTTATGATGTGGAGAAAGTTCAGCTGTGAGGCGGCTCAAGGGAGACTCCCGATGCATCGTCAAGATGACTTCGATATCCAGTGGAGCGCCGCATCATCGGAGTGCATGTCCGGACCATCACGATGGTAAGATTGTTGATGTTTACATACTCTTGCATCTTGAGGTATCCTTCACCCAAACGGGTAGCGGAGAGCGGAGGTTATCTAACCACATGAGGCATAGCCTTATTCACGCATCCCAGATCCCAGCGCAACCGCCGCTGACGTAGTTTCTTTCAATCGTCATCTTGACTTTTCGATTTCCAGCCCTTCCACATGCGAAATGATTGGCGTTCCTGAAACACATCCCCATCGTTCCTGGACGTTCCTGAATTACGTTCGACTTACAAATCGCGCAGACTGTGGAGTAAGATGTGGACCTGACTCTTTGCGACAATCGAGTCGACATTTTCTCAGACGAGGGTCCGACGACGACCCGATTTCTGGGCCTTCGATTCGTGTGTCGTCATGTCATCCGTGAAAATAACACTAGCTACGGTTCGAACCAAATTTCCCAAGATTATGGCGTGAGAGGCGCAATGGGAGAGTAAGCGGTGAAAAAGCGGCAAACGTACGGCCACGTGCGTCGTTGTCGGTATGCTAACAACTGACAGAGTTCAGCGAGTCGACTTGGGCAGCGTACACTAATGGCTCTCGCGCCTCGTGAAGTGGAGGCAGTGTCGATACGAAATACCTATCGTGTGCCGTCTTGTGGAGTTTGAAAAATACCACCGGTTACTCATCATTACCTGGACATGCACGTACTACTGCACCAATCATGCTCTAACTCGTTGTATAGTAACCGAACCCAAGGTATTGGACGATAGAGCGACTTGCGACAAACGACGAGTAGCAGGTGCGGCTCTAATCTACCCTGGAGTACGAGCGATTGGCTCGAATGCAACTCCTGCAATGTCGACTCAAGACGGACGAACAAGCGAGTAGTATCTTCGAAATGATTTCCCTGATCTTCATGAGCGCACGCACGTGATCTGCAATCATCTCGGCGGTCCACGAGTAAGAGGCTACAGTCGCACCACTTCCTCCATCTCGAGGTTTCCCTGGCTCTCCCAGCACATACACGCGTCTTTCTCTGCATCACTCCCATCATCACGCGTCATCAGGGTGCCACGACCGTTGCGCACCACATATTTACTGACAACAGCATCGATGCCCAGGAGCTCGCAAACAACCGATGCCGAATCCCTGCATAACTCTTGACCCACACACATGGCATTTACTCGGCATCTTAGATCCGTGAAGGAAGGCGCACGGGGCACAAATCTACCACACCACACCAACCAACGGCTTTCGTATCAAAAGACGCAGGGAAGCCGGCCCCAAAACGAAATAACACGGCGATAAGAAAGACCCTGTTTTTCTGTGGCATTCCTTTGCGATCTTGAGCGGGCTGTGCAAAAATAGCATGTGCTGGCAAACTAAACTCAGTCCAACTTTTATCTCTAGTGCACCTTTGGTTGGGTAGATGTGGGTTTGGGACAACAAAGAGAAGGAGATTACCAGCACATTTGTTGTACAGTGTACAGTAAGGCCCTAACCTCAACAACACAAACAATATGCGCAACACATGCATATTCCCGCAAAAACAACCGCCCATGCGCAACATGCAACACATCAATCACGGTTCCCCTCGAAAGCATCATGTCCAAACCCCTTCCGGGCCAAGATCATCCACCCGGCACACTTCACCCCAAGCAGCAACCCACCATGAAGATCCTTCACAGCACTGCGGGGCACCTTGCGCTTGGCAAATCTCACATCCCCCATCACCCATTCAGAATAGAAGGATGATCTCTAGTTAGGCCATCTTCCTTTGTTCGCAAACACACGCAGGTTTACGCGAACGGCCTGCGGCGACCAACGCCAATGTCGCCGCCGAATGATCAACATGAACAGCGATATCTCAGCTGATATATGGCCATGTGTTGGCGATGATCGAAACATGTGGTCAACGGGCCGTCTAAACCTGCTTTTCGACTATCCCTTTCCCTTGATTTTTTGAAATCACGATTGACCCGGAAATATGGTGGTAAGTGCCGCTGGATGCGAAGCGAGAGTGCAACTGCAACCATAGCGGTAGCAGACCTTAGTCACATAGTAGTAGCCTGTGATTAGACCTGCCAGTGCAAAGCTGGATTGGATGAGATTAGGAAATTGCCAAACTGCAAAGAAAGAATCAGGGTCCGCTCGCACGGGTCTAGTCGACGCTACGATGCGCTGGCTTGCACCTCTAGTAACTATGGAGTGATGTGGGGAATATTCTGCATTCTCATTGCCGTGATTGATTACATTAGGAAAGTGCAGGGAATCACGTTAGCGGTGGTAAGAGCGACTCAGTACACGTCTGTACACACGTCCGCTGTTTTCGGCGGCTAGCAGCTGATCGCGTGTTTCAGAGAGGCGAATGTGGCCGGCGCGCGCTGGCATGCTGGGTCAAAGGATATACGGGGTGGGCAAGTGGAGGGGCGTGTTTTTTTAATGGGGGCGAAAGAATGGGGAAGGGAGGACATGAGTCGGGTAGGTCGGCATGCTCGGGTTGTACCTCTGGATATGGCGGAGAGGGAGGGAGGAGGTGGCAGTGTTTGTTGGGTGAGATTTGTGAGATTGTAGATCGAGGCATTGTTGGCGTGCATCACGGAGGCGAAAAAGGCATATGATGAATGGGATAGAGTTGAATTGTCATTGCTAGCTACGTGAAGAAACAAAAGAAGACCCGTCATCTGCCCAGCTCGACACCAACTGGTGGAGCGCTTACTGTGAAGCTATGGACAGGCGAGATGCATGCATGCGGTACGTTTGTATACTCCGAGGATGAAAAACGCAAAGTTGGGTATTTGAGAAAAAGCGATCGGGTTGCCACGCTCCAGCACTTGGAGTGTGTGGTTGATGAAGAAGAATGTTGCGAGTCCGTGTTTGCTAGAACGAGCCGTTCCATCCGTTCTCCGTCTATTGTTTGTGTACGATTCGTGTGCTGGTTTTTTGTTTGTTTGTAATGGTGATGAGGATGATGAACGCCGTTGATGCTCCGTGCCGTGGGTGATATAACTCCGAAATTGCTGGACAAATAGAAAGGCGTAGAGCGGCTAGTTGTTTCGGTGCCGTGTCCGAGTGCCAGTGCTTGGGTGGTGGTGTGTTTGTGTTTGCTTTTGTTGGTGGCGGGATAGTCAATGGCCACCAACGGAGGTTGCACGGCCAGGAGAGTACTCTCCCCTTCGACGAGCCTCCTCGCGGATGTACTTCTCAACGTGCTGGTCGGCTTCGGCACGGCTCACACCAGCGGTAAGGTAACCGCCGGCGTCTTCTTCGAGTTCCAAGGGAGTGACTACCCCAGGACTGGCGAGTGGCTCCAGACGTGGGCTGGTTGGCTTCGGTCCAAAACCCCTGGTTTGACGGCTGGTGTTGGCAAGGAGTTGTTGCTGGTAGAGGTACATCTGTCTCTGAACCTCGTACTGCCTGTTGGATGATCGAGGCGAAGCGGGAGAGTTAGGGCTGTCAGGACCAGCAGTAGGCGTGTTTGCATGACTTGAGCCTTGGGATGAAGCGTAGTTTGCTGGGTGGAAGCGGGGCAGAGAAGGGAGCCTCAGGTGTGCAGCAGGGCCGGTGTTGCTGGACTGTCGTGGGTTCATGGCTGGGCGACATCGAGCCTGTGAAGGAATATCGAGAGGCTGTGATCTGGGCGAGAGAGGCGAGCTGATGGCAGGCATGCTGCGGTCGGCAGTTCGAGAAGACATGTTCTGGTGAGAGGTACCGGATCTGAAGATGACTCGCGAAAGGGAAGGCGACGTTGGCGGAGATCGCATATGACGTGTGGCGAGTATATCTCGCGTTCACCTGGAGGAAGGAAGGTTGCGGCTCCGGTGAGTTGTTATATCAACTTCTCCTGAATGACAGCGAGGAGAGGGATAATGGAAAGATGGAGTACCGTGCTTGCAGGCAGCAAAGCACAGAGCAGCGGCGGTGTCTAATATATCTAGCAGCGGGAGGGTCCAGCAAAGGCTTGGGACTTGGTGGCAGGGCTCGGGGATGGTAGCCGATCTTATTGGAAAGGTACAGTGTTGATCTTCCGCTTGAAGGCGCACCGTCGTGCGGTAATCGTTCCTGAGAGGGTAACGAGCCTGATGCACGGCTCAAGTGGACCCCGTTTCGATGTGGTGGAAGCACAGGCGCCTGCTACTGGCAGCACACCAAGCCGGTGTCTATCAGTTGCAACAGGTGGCTGCGGGCCGGTTATGGCGGAGTACAGATGGCGCGTGTGTTTTCCCGAAACCTGGGTCCACAATCAAAGTAAGATGGAGTGCAGTGCGTCGGCTAGTCTGAGGGCGGCGCAGAGGAGGGAGGGTTGAAAGCTAATCTAACAGTGAATAGGATAACTGGTACACAGCGGCCTTTACATAGCTAGTACCGACGGAGGACAAGGCCGCTACAGCGAGGCGCGCCATGATCGCAGGCGCTATATCCTCGTCATTTCACCTCGCAGGCCTTGGTTTCGCGGTTTGGGCGGGGCGCTGAATTCCTGCCTCGCTAGCCATGCGAATCGTCCAACACGCCTAAGCAGCTTGTGCAGCTTGTCCGTTATGACGCAGTGCAGCATGCCCGGCTCATGATTAAGACCGAACACGTGCCCGCCTTAGAATGCCCGGCGCTAAACGCGTGGTGTGAACACAGCATTGCAAACTTCCCTCCATTGCCCTGCAGCGCCGTGGTGGGTGTGATAGGGTACCGTTGCATCTGCAGCAGAGCCCTGCGGCAGGTTGCAGCAACGTCTTTTCTCTTTCACGACGCACCTTTAGCTCCGCGCGCGTGCTCTCTCAAAGTACGGTCTGATGAGAGACAAACGGTAGCGCCTACAAGACATGACACCACCACACCGTGGCCGCGACGCCAAGTGCACAACTGCGACATTCTTCGCAAAAGGGTATGCACATATTGGCTGGATGTAACGACGTGAACCGATCGTGATCCATCATGCGCCTTTTTCTTGTCTATCCCGAAGTTCACCCTAACATCGCCGAAGAATATATGTGCGATATTATTTGGAGGGAGAGCCGCTCGCACGGTACAGACAACGCTGCACAATCCCATATTACCCAACATGCGGAAATACCGCCTGAAGGGACTGCCGCCGAAGCCGCTCCTACACACAATTCTTCCATCATCTACTGAGCGCTGACCGATGACGCCAGCGCACGAACTTTAATGTATGTGATGTTCTTCTAGAGAGGGTTCGGCTTTGCTCGCCGCGATGCGATGCCGTCACGTAGTTTGGCTTGGGCACCAGAGGACAGAGCTTAGCGCGGCTATCAGAGCAGTTGTTTGGGCATCCCGTCAATGCATCGACGTGCGATGAAGATGTGATACTGTCGCACCGCTTAGTAGATCTCCCGCATGCGGCTCAGGTAGATGAAGCAATGCAGCCGCTGGTGGAAACCAACAGCCGCCGGAGGAGCTCGGGCACATTGAGTCGGCGCGCACATTAGCATGGGCATAGGCAAAAGCAATGGAGATTGAGGCTGCTTAAGGAACACCGAGGTAAATCACGGTAAACAAAACCGCTTTGAGAAGGTGTGACAAGTATTAGATCACCAGCGACATGTCTCGGGTCACTCATGCTATTCGCGGTACGTAGCTCGTGTCGTGAAATTGTTGGATTTGTTGGTTGATGTATGTCGCTGCATGTTCTCCTCCGCATCATCTCGCGCCGAGCTTCTCCAGTGCCTTTGCGCCCTGTTCCTCCCACTCTGCCTTTGATATCCACATGTTCTCTTTGTCGGCCATGATGTGCGCGAGTACAGCTCCACCGAGGAACACCATGTGCCTTCGCCGTGGCGGGTCTTCGATGCGGACCTTGAATTTCTGTGTCTGTGTTAGCAGAGTTTAGCCGGCATAGTAGGTGTGTACCCACGTTGAGTCGCTCCGGGTTTCCGCCCAAGACCTTAGTGAGCCACAGCTGCTTGAGCTCCTTCTCCAGCCGACTTGGCAGACCCGGGTACATGCTGCTACCACCACTGAGCACGATGGCCTGGTATAAACTGCTCCTGACATCTACGTCGGCCGCTTGGATGGTGTTGAACAGGAACTCGGCGATACCGGGCTGCTCGACGTCCACAAGATGCGGCTGGAACAAACATTCGGGAGCCTCGAAGCGCTCGCTGCCAACCCGGATGACACGACCATCAGGTAGGGTGTAGGATTCCACCAGCACGGTTGTGTCTTCGCTAAGGCGCTGGTCCAATTCAAGGTCGTATGAGACGTAGCAGAGCTTCTCCTTGATTTGACGGACGGTCTCGAAGTCGGCGGTTCGGTTGAGAGCGTATCCTCTCCGCAGGAGGAGAGCGATGAGGTTGCGGGTCACGTCGCGTCCGGCGACATCGAGACGGCGCGTGAGATGGTTGAGGACAGTGCTTTCGTATACGGGAACAATATGCGTGACACCATCTCCCGAGTCGACGACCACACCAGATGACAATCCCTGCGCGTATAGAGCTAAGACAGCCTGGATCGCCACGTATACACCTCCAAATCCATAGCGCTCGAACATGACTTCGCACATGGTCTCGCGGTTCTTGAGCGGGTTCATCGGCGGTTCGGTGAGGAGGATCTTGCGGCCGGTAGTGTCGAGCTTCATCTTGTCGTGGAAGGTGTAGTCCCAGACGTGCTGCATGTCATCCCAGCGCTTGACGATACCATTCTCCATCTACGGACAAGACAGCGTTAGCTCCAAGGTAGCTTGAGAGATGTCGACGATGCACATACAGGGTACGTGATCTGAAGCATTGAGCGCGCTGCCGCTGCTTCGTCACCGCACATTATGTCTTTGAGCTGGATGTCACCGCCATCTCGCTCTTCGGTTCGCAGGATGGGTCGGCCGACTATTGAGGGAAACTGGTGGTCGGGGAAGTTCTGGAGAGGGACCTGTTAGCTTTTGCCATGACCAGTCTGCCGCTGTATATAGAACATACCTGTCCGGCGTAACCCGCCTTAAGGAAACCGGTACCGCCATCGAGGACTAATTGGAGGGTAAGTAGAGCTTCACATATAGCTGAGGCAGCTGCGCATACCAATGGGAGCTTCAGCCATCCTGTGCAAAGCTCGAAAGGGTTGTTGGGGCTGAAGGAGTGGATGTTGGAAGCTGGCCGTAGCTCGGGGCTGCCTGCCTTGAGGTTGACGACGTTGGCGGGGCGCATGGTTGGCCAGGGGTCCGTGAGCACTCAAACGGGCAACACGATGCTCACAACTTGAGATGCAGGCACTTGATATCTCCAAGATTATAAAATCACAGTATGCCAGTGACACCAGGAGAACAAAAGCGATTTACACTATGTATGGTATGCTACACATCGCATGGTGCTGCAGGTCTGGTGTACCAGAGGTTTCTTCCTCAATAGCCCATACATACAATCATTGACATCACTACACTCGAAGACCGTCCATAATCCAAAGATGTTAACATCTCTCTGCAGTTATACTTCAGAACCAACATTGTAAGATGCTCAGATGTGGTCACCCACCTCTTGCTAGTCGCATGGTCACCCACCGGGGAACTTTGGGAAGTCGCGACTTGCGCATCGCTTAATGCATGGTCCGAGCGCCTCCTGCCCACTTCAATATCGTCGTTCTGCAACACCGAACTTTCTCTCCAGCCAGTTCAACTAACAGCAGGTCAAGATGCCTTTCGTAAGTACGCCCTGAATTGCGCCCGCAATGCACCCCTCCATTCCATTGCCACACGGCAACCCCGCTTCGACGAAAGTCGAGTGGAGTCTTTGCGAGATGCTTCGAATGCGGGTTTGAAGCGCCAATCGCTGACTCTGTCAAAAGTCCAAGCTCCAGAAGAACGATGCCTACTTCTCGCGGTACCAAGTCAAGTACAAGCGCCGCAGGCAGGGAAAGAGTACGTATTGATCCCAACGTCGAAATCGCGACTTCTCTAACAATCTGCAGCCGACTACTACGCCCGTAAGCGGTTGATCACCCAGGCCAAGAACAAGTACAATGCGCCCAAGTACCGCCTCGTCGTCCGTTTCACCAACAAGGACATCATCTGCCAAGTCGTCCACTCCGAGATTGGCGGTGACAAGGTCTTCATGGCTGCTTAGTACGTCCCAGCGACTCCGCTTCTGCAGACACTCGACTAACAACAATACAGTGCCCACGAGCTCAAGGCTTACGGCATCACCCACGGTCTTACCAACTGGTCCGCCGCCTACGCCACCGGTCTTCTCCTTGCCCGCCGTGTCCTCAAGAAGCTCGAGCTTGACGAGGACTTCGTTGGTGTAGAGGAGGCTGACGGTGAGTTCACCCTCACCGAGGCCGCCGAGGTTGACGGCGAGGAGCGCCGCCCATTCAAGGTCTTCTTGGATGTCGGTCTCACCCGCACCTCCACCGGTGCCCGTGTCTTCGGTGCCATGAAGGGCTGCTCCGACGGTGGTGTCTTCGTCCCCCACTCCGAGAACCGCTTCCCCGGATACGACATGGAAGGCAAGGAGCTCGACGCCGAGACCCTCCGCAAGTACATCTTCGGTGGTCACGTCGCTGAGTACATGGAGACTCTCGCCGACGACGACGAGGAGCGCTACAAGTCTCAGTTCAGCGGCTACATCGATGACGACATCGAGGCTGATGGTCTTGAGGAGCTGTACCAGGACGCACACAAGCAGATCCGTGAGGACCCCTGGAAGAAGGAGGAGGGCGAGGCCCCCAAGAAGTCCAAGGACGAGTGGAAGGCCGAGTCGCAGAAGTACAGGAGCAAGAAGCTCACCAAGGCCGAGAAGGAGGAGCGCGTCAAGGCCAAGATCGCCGA